TGTGTGTGTGTGTGTGTGTGTGTGTGTGTGTGTGTGTGTGTGTGTGTACGGATTTTTTGTACACGCATCTACTTCTACAATTTTTTAGATACCGGGTTGAAATTTTTCACACAAATAAAGTATCATAGAAAGTATGTTCTCCTCAAATATTATTAAAATCGGTTGACCGGTATTTTATTGGAAAATTATTTTTTTAGAAAAGTGTGTTTTATCCTATAGCTTTCTCAATATTTGAGATAGCAATCTATATCTAGATCTATTAATTTTTTTAGTTTTTTCTATCTCTATTTCATATATAATTAATTAAAATTTGGTTAATTAGTTCTGGAGTTACAGACGTTTGAAATTTCGGAGATTTTGATCGCGTATAAAGCTAAGTCTAATTAACCGAATTTAAAAGAGTTATATATGAAATCGGGGTAGAGAAGACTGAAAATTATAATAAAATTATAAATAGATCGATATCTCCAAATTTGCGGAAGTTAAAGCTTCCTCTATGAGGAAGCCAAGTGCAAATTTCTAATTTGCATAATTTTTATATAATTTAATTTGATATTGTCTGCTTTTATATTACAGAGTAAAGTACTTCCTTCCTCATAGGTACGACCTTGGCGAGGTGAGAAGGCCCACAGTATTTTTCTATATGACTGGATAAAATTAAAAAATTTGTTCGTATAATATCAATTACAATTTTATTTTTTACGTTTTATTTAGTAAGATGTTCACAACACTTGCTCGTCCATTACTAACAGCGTAGTGTAACGGTGTTCTTACATCAATGTCTTTATCATTGGCATCAGTTCTTTATCATTGGCGTCAGCTCTTTATCATTGGCGTAGAATATCTCACGGTTCGCAGCTTCCAATGAGCTTAAATGTATAATTAATCTCTTTTATATTTTCTAAAATATGCAAAACAGTGGGATGACTTGGTCCAAGAACAGCTTTGATTTGATCAAAACATTCTCGGTAAGCTTTACGGGCATTAACCAATTTACCTTGAGAAATAAGTACATTTGCCATGTGGTATTGAGTAAACAGAGTATTAGGGTTATTTGCTCCTAACACATTTTTCTGTGTATTCCAAACGTTTTGAAAGGTTTCCATGGCTTCATGAAATTTTTTTTGTTTGACGAATATTTTAGCAATGTTACTTAACGTCCTCAAAGTGCTCACATGATCAATACCTAAAACCACTTTCTTTTTCTCGAAAACTTCTTCATAAATTTTCAATGCCTCTTCAAGCTTACCCTGCTCAGCCAGTATCATCGCTATATTATTTTGAACATGCAGAACTGCTGGGTTATTTGCACTTAATAATTCTTTTCTTTTTTCAAAAACTCTTCTATAAATATTTAACGCTTCTTCGTGTTTGCTTTGTTCACGTAATACCATTGCCATGTGAAAGTAAGTTTTTAAAGTATCTAAATGATTTGGCCCTAGTATTTCCTCTTGCTTCTGGCAAATTTCTTGATAAATATTAAAAGCTTCTTTAGTCCTTCCCTGTCTATGCAGCACTAAAGCAATTTCACTTTTTGTACTTAAAGTATTCTTGTCATTCAAACCCAATATTTCTTTCTGTTTCTGGAAAATTTCTTCAAATGTATTTAAAGCTTTTTGGTAAGCCCCTTGTGCACGTAATACTTTAGCTATATATGTCTGAATATCTAAAGTGCCAGGATTATCTGACCCTAGGATTTTTTTTCTTTTTTCATATGCGTTGTTGAAGAAATTTAAGGCCATTTGATAATAGCATTTATTAAAAAACCCTATACCAACTTTAATCTGAGCAGATACATCACCTTGTGATACCTCTTTCAACTGTTCGACTTTTGAAAAGTTATTATGCTCTGCAGCAACTACTAGCGTTTTATTTTCTCTATCGCAAGCATTCATTATTGCTTTTACTGTACCGATATCCTCTATCTTGTTAAGATCATTAATAACTCGAGAATCATTATTTTCAATATTTTCAAATGAGTCACGCAGTAATTGAAATAAGCTAGTAACATTTTCATCTACAGCAAAATTTGACGGTGTTTTATTATCAGCAGAAACTGCATTATATACTGCACCATTAGACAATAGGAGCTTTACAATTTCTAAGCGACAGAACTTAGCAGCATAATGTAGAGGGGTAAATCCATTAGCATCTCTGGCGTTAACGACAGCCCCCGCTTCAATGTAATTCTTGACTTCTGAAGAGTCATTACGTTTTACAGCCTCAAACAATTTCTCAGTTAATTCTAATAAATTGATAACGTTTTTATCCTTAGATATTTGTAACGGTATTATATGAAACTTGTCAACAGCGTTATAAACTGCTCCATTTTTTAATAAAACTTTAATAAAGTCTTCATAACCGTGATTAGCAGCAATATGCATAGGAGTTAAGCCATTATAATCTTTAGCATTAACGTCAGCGCCTTGTGTTATCAAATACTTTGCAACTTCTAATTGACCATTTAATGCAGCATAGTGTAGTAATGTCTTATTAGCTGCATCAAGTTCATTAATACTTAACCCCTTATTAAAGAAAAACTCTACATTATCTTTATAACCTTCTATCGCTGCGATGTGTACAGGTTTTAAACCAGAGGCATTTTTAGCATTAACATCAAATCCTTCATCTGTTAGATACTCTATCATCTGTAAGTTATTTCTTTGTGAAGCAATATGCAATATCGTCCAATCATCATTATCTTTAGCATTTACATTTATTGTTCCATACTGCAGTAACATTTTAACCACTTCTAAATGATCATGTGCCACTGCAAATTCTAGAGGTGTTCTATTCTTATTATCCTTAACATTAATATCTGCTTTACTATCAAGTAAAACTTTTACAACATTATTATGACCATAGGTTGCAGCTATATGTAATGGTGTAAAATATTCGTCAGATTTTACATTAACGTTAGCTCCACGTGCTATTAACATCTTAACAATTTCCTGGTAACCTCCCTGTGCTGCAAAATATAATGGTGTTAGATTATTAATAGTTATGACATCAACTATAGCTCCTTTTGTTAACAGAACTTTTACTACATTCTTATAACCTTTAGTAGCAGCCGAGTGTAGTGATGCAACATTTTCAGAATCTTTTATATTAACATCGATTTTGTGGCCCAGCAAAATTTCTACAATATCTGTGTATCCAGCAAGAACTGCTGGTGACAAAAGTTTAATGCCTTCTTCATTAATTTTAACTCTATTTGATATAAGAACTTTAACGATTTCTTTGTGATTATATTTTATGGCAGAAAGCAATGGTGTCATGTTGTTACATCTGACGTTGACATTGGCTCCATTTGCTGCCAGAATCTCAACGATTTCTTTATGACCTGCTTTCACGGCTGTATGTAATGGTGTATTATCTGCATTATCTCTTACATCAATGTGAGCTTTATATTTTATTAGAAGATTAACAACATCTTTGTGGCCTTCTACAACAGCAGCGTGTAACGGTGTAGAACTATTAATAGCTCTAGTATTTACATTAGCTTTATTTTTTATTAGAGAAACAATGGCATCTTCTTGACCGTTTAGAGCAGCTAGATGCAATGGTGTAGTACCATCATAAGTTTTAGCTTCTACCTCAGCTTTATTTTTTATTAGAAGATCAATAACATCTTTGTGGCTTTTCAGAGCAGCTAGATGCAATGGTGTGCTACCTTTATCAGTTTTTGCATTAACTTCAGCTTTATTTTTTATTAGAAGGTTAATAATGTCTTCGTGGCCTTTTAGAGCAGCTACATGTAGTGGTGTTAAATTATTATTAGTTTTTGCATTAGTATCTGCATTATTTTCTATTAAAAGTTCAGAAATTTTCTTATGACCACTTTTTGCTGCACAATATAATGGTGTAATGTTATTTCGATCTTTAGCACAAATGTCAACACTATGTTTAAGTAGAGCAACAACTATTCCTAGATGACCATTCTGGGCAGCAAAATGCAATGGAGTCACACTTGCAACAGTGGCAATATTAGCGTCGGCTTTACTTTCCAGTAGAGTCTTAACTATTTCCTCGTGCCCATCTTTTGCTGCATAGTTCAAAGGTGTATTATTACCGGTTTTGTCAACAGCATTAACATTAACTCCATGCTCCAATAGAATATTAACTATCTTCTCATGACCGTTTTCTACTGCACAGTGTAATGGTGTAAAACCACTTAGGCTTCTAGCGTTAACATCAGCTCCGTTTAGGATTAAAGCTCTTACTACTTCTAAATGGTTTCTTGCTGCTCCGTGTAACGGTGTCCAATCTTCATCATCTCTAGTGTTTACATCTGCATTATTTTGAAGCAAGAAATTAACTAACTCTAGATGACCTGTGCTTGCAGCTGCGTGCAACGGGGTAAGGTACCAACCCATAGTTTCATTAATATCAACATTTACATATATTTTCAATAAAATCTTAGCAACATCAATATGATTATTCACTATTGCATGGTGTAAAGGTGAAAAACCAATTTCATCTTGAGCAATAATTTTAGCTTTATTTTTTAATAAAATTTCAACAATATCCTTGTGACCTTTTTGAGCAGCGACATGTAGTGGCGTTTTGCGACTATTATCTAAATCATCAATACATGAACCTTCTTTTATAAAAAATTCTACAACATTTTCCCTTCCATGCTCAGCAGCAATATGTAATGGGCTTTGACCATTAATATCTTTCACATTAACGTTTAAATTTTGATCAAGAATAAATTTTATAATTTCAAGACTGGGTCCTTTAGCAGCAAAATGTAACGTGGTCCATGAATTAATACTTCTACCATTAATATCTGCACCTTTTTTGAGACAATCCTTTAAGCTTTCTAGATTTCCTTCTTTTAAAGCAGCATTTATTTTTTCCTGATTAGTAATGGCATCTAAATCTTGATCGTATTTCTCTCTTACCTTACAAGAATTATTGCTTGCTAACTTGCCAATTTTTTCCTTGCTTTTCATTATATTTTTTTCGGTAAGTTTTTTAGCGTTCAAAATAACTGCTACGGAAGGATCAGTTAACAGTACATTAACTAAGGGATTATCATGTGCTAAATGATTACGTAAACATTTTCCAATTAATAAAGGAGCGTTACCGTCTAAAAAAAATAGATTATTTTCCAAGTGGTTTGAGCTGCTTAAAATTGACATTATATCCAGAACAAGCATTTCTACTACTGCTTGCAATTTTTTATCACTTTTATAGAAAGGTAATGTTTTAATTAATTGATCACTCAATGCGTTTTTGCTTAAAATATTTTTCAGTTTAGATATCTTTAGTGCAAACTGGTTATTATATGTTTCTACATTTTCTACATTTTCTACATTGGATTTTTTTCTTTGTTTATGTGTAGGAATAAACGAACCTTTTTCATTCAACATTTCTTTTAATTTCTTAATCCATTTAATGTCATTTGTTCCAAATTCAGAAATATAAAAAAGAATTTCGCAAATTAATGCGTATAATTTATCAAGATTGTCATGTTGTATTCTTGATTTAATACTATCAAAGATTTTCATTGATAACTCAGCAATTTCTTTATGGCTATGAGGCTTTATTCTTATTACCATATTTTCTAATGCTTTATTAGCAATAAGTTTTATTTCATTAATAACGTTGTGGTCATTCTTATATGTGTCAGTCAGGCTAATTAAGCGTCTTAACAATAAAGATTCTCTGATGTAATCAGTTTTGATATTTTCTGATTGAGTTTCTGCACAATTAATTATTTTGTTAATTTTATTAAACAGCTCCTTTTCATAATCCGTCTTGTCAGTTATATTATCATATAATTTTTTAATTAGTTTTTCAAGCTTCTCGTGTTTCATCATTTTAAAATTTTTTGATATTATTTTATCCAATTTAACATTACTAAATATTTTAGCAATTTCTTTCATCTCACCTAAGCTTTTACTATTAGCAATTCTTTTTAACAGCAATCTAATTGTTTCAATTTTTTTATTGAAAAGAATATTAGTAATTACATGGTCAATTTTTCTAATATTCTTTTGAATACCAGTAAAAAAACTAACATCAGTATTTTCCTCAATTTCTGTTCTTGTGGAGAGTGAATGAGCATGTGATAGTGAATTACGTAAACTTATAACTATTTCTCTTGTATCTTTTGGTAACAATTGTAGCAAAAGCTCACCTATTGTAGTATTAGATAACTTAGGGGATTCTAAAGTGTTTTTTAAATGCTCACCGATAACCTGTAAAACCCTTGTAATAATTAACTGTCCTTCCCTCTCTTTAGAATCAGCCGATAACGCCAACTTTATACAATCAATTATTTTCATTAAAGAATCGATATCTTTAATTTGTTCATAATCGTTATACAACTCTTGAAATTGAGGAACACTGCTAATAATTTCTGCAACAACTTCCTCGCGTTTTAAATTTGGAAGTTTATTATTAATGTTTACACTTTCTTTTTCATCTTTAAGTTTCTCTGCAAAATTTTCTAAGTGATTTAATATTTTGCTTTTATTCAATGTAGCATTATAAAATAGATTAATTTCTTTTTGTTTTGTGTGAGAAGAAACAAAACTGACTAAACAAAACTCCATTTCTTCCCAAGGTAATCTATCATAGGTTGATTTCAACTGCCGCTTTAATATATGAATATTTTATGCGATAAATTTTGCTACAAATAAAAACTTTTTATCTACTTTTTTTGTGTTTGAATAATCTATCTTTAGCAAGTTAATGTTTTGAAGTGTTAATTTAATTCGATCTTTGATGTTATTAAGACAACTCTTCAAATTCTGATCTTCACATTCTGGTCGAGAAGTATTGGAGAAGAAACGGAGGTTTATTAACTTATTTTGAACAAAAATTTCCATTTCGTCTGACAATGGTACATCTTTTAACTTTAATTCTTCATAAACTTTTGAAAGAATTTTATCCAATTCTCCTAAATTAACAGTAAAATAATTATCTGGCCATTTACTAATGAGTGTATCAAGAAGCTCAACATTGCGTGATCGTATAGCATAATAAAACGCATTATGGCATGTTTCATCTTTATCATCTGGTAATATAGTGTTTCTTCCAATAACAACAGACAGATTATTTATAATTCTACTATCACTATCAAATAGATACTCTAAAATTTTTACTTTATTATGTTTACAAGCTAAGATAACTAAATTAGTGCTTCTAACAGGGTTGCTGGCATTATCATAATAATTTTTCAAAGTTATTTTATCTTCTGCATTACTTATGTTGTCAATTAAATTGCTTAGTTCTTTTAACCTATCAATATTATCCTCTGATACTACCTTTTCGAGTTCAGTTAGAACTTGGGGATAAAGTTCTAACTCTCTTGGTTGTTTCATCATATTTTTTGTTTTCTCTTATAAGTTTCTCTTCAAATTTACTATAAAGTAGGTGATAGTTGAAAAAAATTAGTTTGTTTTGTGTGTG